TTACTATTACTATTACTATTAGGCAGTGGCGTAGCCCACAGAAATATAGACTGTCTCTGTTCTTAACCGAACTCTGTCACGCGATATCGCAATAACACTGGCGAAATTCGAGCGTTCGCTAACGTTGCGCGGTCAATGTAAATGTCTGCCGGAATCAGGAAACACCTAGCGGCGCTATTGCGTCATTCGTGCGCCGCAATGCTGGAATGTTTTTGCAACGCTCCAATGGCGAGGCTCGTACGGGAGGTTGAAAGCAGCGTGGTTGTATCCCAAAATGCAATGCGCCGCCTATAGCCATGTACTTGCAGACATTTACATTGACCGCGCAACGTTAGCGAACGCTCGAATTTCGCCAGTGTTATTGCGATATCGCGTGACAGAGTTCGGTTAAGAACAGAGACAGTCTATATTTCTAACAAGTGATCACTGTTGTTGAAATTGAAACAAAGATGGAGTAGAATGGTTGTGTTTTTGTGCTGTAATCACTGTGAAATTCACCGAGTGTCGAGCGGATTGGAGTCGAGCGCTTTCCTACCTGCTATATATATTAACAGTCACTGTGCACAGTCAGCAATGGCGGCGGTAGTGTGTGTGCATAGAGCATTTACACGGAATTGACAGGAAACTGTCAGCAATAATAGGTGAAAGAGAGTATAGTGACAGAAACATTAAGAATTTTGTAGTACTAGTACAAGTAGTAGTAGTAGTAGATTTCGTATTTATTTAGCATTATATTTTATTGAAACGTTTCAAGTGCCTGTGGCCGCACGGACCACAACTCATCGTTTTCAATCAGTTACAACTCCGGTGTTCCTGCAGGTGATGCCACTTTCCAACTATCGTTGGAATCGCGGAAGACTGCTTAACAAGCTACACTTGCCATTTTTGACAATCGGCCTGCCAGAATGCGCTCAAATCACAGAAATTTCTTAATATCCATGCAAAACGATCCTTCGAATGCTACTATTGAAAAAGGCGGCAGGGCTAACCGTTGGCGGCTGCGCTGATTGGCTGCAGCAAGTTTAATGTGCAGACAGGCTGCGCAACTACGCAATTGACAACTACAAAATATTCAACCATTTTACTCCATCTTTGTTTCTATTTGAAGGACACTGGACACTGTTCACTTGTTATAAAAACATACTGTCTGTGTTCGTAACCGAGCTGTGTCACGCCAAATCACACAAAGCCTGACGAAATTCTCGCGTTCGCTCCCGTTGCGCAGTTTATGTAAATGGCTGCAAGTACAGGGCTATAGGCGGCGCACTGCATTTTGGGAAACTACCACGCTGTTTTCCAACTCACGTACGAGCCTCGTCAAAGCCGCCAGTGGAGCGTCGCAATAATGCGGCGCAAAAATGAGGTCACAAAGAGCGGCGGTGGGTGTTTCCTGATTGCGACAGCCATTTACATCAACTGCGCAACGGGAGCGAACGCGAGAATTTCGTCAGGCTTGGTGTGATTTCGCGTGACACAGCTCGGTTACGAACACAGACAGTATGTTTTTATAACAAGTGAACACATGTCCTTCAATGATAAACAAGATGAGTTAGAATGGTTTATATTTGTGATTGTATCAGGTAGTTGAATCAAGCGAGGGTCGAGCGATTTTGGCAGCACGTTCCTACCTGCTATATATTTATGGTGTCAGATTGTGCGAGAGTAGCCATGCACAGCTCAGGTGTGTTGCCAGATGAGCATTTGGACGCATGATTAAATATTTCGGCATAATTGAAGTAAAGAGAGTAGAGAACATTAGATGGTAGTAAATAGATTTCGTATTTATTTAGATTATATTTTATTGAAAACGTTCAGTGGCTTGCTGTTCAGTGTACTGGAGACATATAAAAATTAGTCGGTTCCTGCAAACCTTAATTCGACACCGTAACTATTGTTGGATTTTGTGTGCGGGTTCCGGCACGAGAGCCTTGCTATAGAAAGCTGGGGTTTCTCTGCTCCAGACGGGTGCAGCGCTGTTTCACGTAGCACCAACACAGTCAACACACAAAATACACAACACAGTAAATAACAACAACACACAACAGCACACACTACACAGTTACGGCAATAGTCAACACAACTTACATATAATTAACTATAACATAACATAACATGAATATATTTATGTACTATAAATGTAAACGTAACAGTGATAGTGACTAACAAACACATTCAAATGTACACACACATCGAAAATTCGTTAACCATGTAAATAAATTACGCGTGGATATGGACAGAAGTTCGTGACATAACTCATTCTCGCAG